ACATGAAACCATTGCGAATGCATCAGCATAAACAAGGCATAAAATTGACACTACTTTTGGGCGAAACAAGGTTGCATTAGGCGCTGAGACGGAGGACAACTTGGCAGCCAACCTTCTGTAAGTCCAACTTGTAGGCAGATTGAATGTTGAAAGGACGCACAGTAGGAATTCGTCTGGCCATTTTAGGTCCTTTGGCTATGAACCTGCGAGTCACATCGCATTAAATTCTTGCTTGAGCAAGCAGCGATTCCTCTTCATAGTTCTCAAAACAACACAATATTTATTTATTTCCTCATATTAAAAAAGGGCTAATTTTGACCAGTATTTTAGTGCATTGTTTGTGGGTGCGGTTTCGTGAACATTGAGGGCTCGGCTTTTGTAGATCCGCTGAGCGGCGGCGCCTGGGGACCATGCTGGTAGCGCTACAGAGCTTCTTATTCGTTTAAAAAATCTTCTTGTAATGAAAGAGAGCCTAAGTCTTGGTCAGCCGAAGTGTAATTGACCAGTGCATTCAAGTTGTGAATATTAGATTTAGCAAACACAGAATATGGTTTGCAATTCTATCATGCAAACAGAAGAAAATTACCAACAATGGCCTTGGTAGTAGGATGGCACAAGCGCTCAGCTTAAAGCACTCAGGTTTAGTGTCGAGCATTTTCAATTAACATGCCTTGCTCATAGGAGCCTCGGCTGACAACCGAAACACATCTTAAGCATTCTTCTTCAAAGTGGTCTGCGCGGAATCATGTCACTGTGGTGGAAATGAGGTGCAGCAGTGTTGTCTGTTTTGGAACATCGGTACACGATGTATTTGGGTAGGTTTGCCGTAATTTAAAGTGCGTGTGCTGCACCGGTATTGGCATAAGATCAGTTGCAGCAAGCGATTGCATCTGCAAAGTCTTTCCACCAAGACGGATACCTAAATTAGTATTGACAAAAGGAAAAGTGGAAAGCACACGGAGCCATCAACCATGTGAAAGAAAAGACGGTTGAGTGAAAATATGTTGCGTTTGCTAAGGTATACAGATCTACTTGG